GCAAATGCATGAGACACCAGAGCTTTTTGAAAGAACCAAAAGAGTGGGAACTAGTAGGAGTTCGTCCCCAGGCTCGCAGAGATCACTTGTTTGTGAGAAGGATCTGAATAGTAGTAACGGTCAACTTTCTGTTGGCGCTGAAGTGAATCCATTCAATGCCTATGAGAGGCATTCCATTTTACAAAACGGTGTCTCTACTAGTGTAAATAAAAGCTTAAGTGAGCATGTTAGATGCAACTCTGTTAAATATGATCTGGAGAGCACATACCTAGGCCCTTCTTCAAGCTCCAGTGATGATGAGCTGGGCCCATTGGAAGGAGACATGTGTGCTTCGACAACTGGCGTGGTAAGGGTACAGTCTAGAAAAAAGGCAGAGATGTTTCTGGTACGCACTGATGGATTCTCCTGTACAAGAGAAAAAGTTACCGAATCTAGCTTGGCATTCACTCATCCAAGTACCCAGCAGCAGATGCTCATGTGGAAATCACCACCGAAGACGGTGTTGTTGTTGAAGAAGCTGGGACAAGAACTCATGGAAGAAGCTAAAGAGGTACTGTGGTGTCCTGTTGATAATTTCCATGGTGATATGTTCGAAAAGATTACTGGAAACTATAAGTGTTGCCAATTTGATAATGATCGCGCACTTTGCATTAGATTTACGAACAATTTTCGAGTAAAACCCCCTAGAAGTAAGCCAAAATTTAGGGGGAAATTTGGCGGCAAATATGGGGGATGCAGGACGTTGTTTTGTACATAGTATACTTTTGGTATGATATGGATCTGCATACTTACTACGGTTACGGGTGAAGACTTTCTGATGGTTATTCACTGCAGATAAGGACTGCTTAGAAGGTTATAGGCTTTTGGCTCAAGTCCTTGGAAATGCTTTCTTAGATCTTTCCCTGTTTACGTGCTTTCATATGGAAAATCGGTGTGGAACTGCTCTTGATACACAATTATAGGATCACTTCCTATACGCATTCAACATTGATGGAATCGAGCTTTGATTAAGTGTCTGTTAAAGTTATTTTGTACCCTGATCTAGAACTACTCATTCTAGTTGTCAAACCTGTCACTCTCCAAGCCGGTCTCTCTATCGAGTGCCATTCTCGGGGTAATCTGGCTCCACTTTGCGAAATATGTTTAAGCGCTACTCCTTTATGTCCGCATTTTCTGTAGATTGTAAATGTTCTCTTAGAATCTGGCCTTGTTTCTTGGAAAGAATCAGCTATTTTTTCCCTCCAATGTTAGAAGATGAGTTACTTTGAGAAACAGAGCTTACCGAATAACCTGATATATGATTTGGTTTGAACTATATTCTGCATTAACATGCAGGTGGCTTCTTACTTATATCACCAAGAAAAAATGAATGTCCTCGTGGAACCTGATGTTCACGATGTATTTGCTCGAATTCCAGGTTTTGGCTTCATCCAGACCTTCTATAGTCAAGATACAAGGTAATCATCTCAATGTAGATTGAGAAGACAATTCATGTGTCATTAGCTTCACACTTGGCAGGTGTCTAGTTCTTGAGCTTGTTGTCCACTTGATGCAGTGATCTTCATGAGAGGATTGATTTTGTTGCATGCTTGGGAGGAGATGGAGTTATACTTCATGCATCTAATTTGTTCAGAGATGCTGTTCCTCCTGTCGTGTCGTTTAATCTTGGGTCGCTTGGATTTCTCACTTCTCATAGTGTAAGCTCTAACAGTTCATTTTCTCTTTGTTAGCATAATGCTTCTTGCCCTTGCAAAGTGGAAAGGGCTTTTTAGCAAACTGATACTCTTCTGTTTGTTATTCTTCTGGGTGTAGTTTGGAGACTACAGGAAGGACCTAAGGCAGCTGATCCATGTCGACAACACGGTTGGTGTGTATATAACTCTCAGGATGCGCCTAAGGTGTGAAATCTTTCGCAAGGGTCAAGCAGTCCCTGGAAAAGTGTTTGATGTCCTAAATGAGGTGGTGGTTGATCGGGGTTCAAATCCGTATCTTTCCAAGATTGAATGCTACGAACATGATCGTCTTATAACCAAGGTTGGTTATCATCTTCTTGAATCCAAAACTAAGATCTGGTAGAAGTTTGGTCCACATAAAATTAGCTCCTTTAGGTGGACACGGACACCGAAGTGGTTTAATATCAGAAGAGGCCTCTAGGTCCTTATCAGTACGGCTTGAATGCTTCTTCTTTCTCGCCCTTCGTGACTTCCTCAAAAAATTTTAGGTGCAAGCTGATGGAGTGATTGTGGCCACTCCTACTGGAAGTACTGCTTATTCTACTGCAGCCGGAGGTTCCATGGTAAGCTTTGCAATATAAGCAAGACAAATGAACTTTCTCGAATCTGTCGGCCTCCCTGTTGCTGGCCTTTCTCTGATTTGGATACCTAATTTTCTGCTGGAAGTATAATTAAACATTGAGCTTAAGTCTTTTGTATTGTTGCAATTCCAGGTGCATCCAAATGTTCCTTGTATGCTATTTACGCCAATTTGCCCCCATTCACTCTCCTTCAGGCCAGTCATACTTCCAGATTCCGCGAGGCTCGAGCTGAAGGTAAGAACAAGGAAAAACCTTACCATCTCGATTTCAGCTGAAGGATCACGTTTTTTTACCAAAAGTGAATTTTTTCTTCCTACTGAAACAGATTCCCGAGGATGCTCGAAGCAATGCCTGGGTTTCATTTGACGGGAAGAGAAGGCAGCAACTATCGAGGGGAGATTCGGTCAAGATATCGATGAGCCAGCACCCACTTCCTACGGTTAACAAGTACGACCAAACCGGTGACTGGTTCCACAGCTTAATTCGCTGCCTCAACTGGAACGAAAGGCTAGATCAGAAAGCCCTATGAAGCTTGTCTCCCCACGAGGTTCAAGTCGGTGTACTTGATTACTGTGCAGAGTTTGCAGTATAGAATGACTACGGAAGCTTCTTAATTTTTACAGTCAGTAAGTGCCAACCTTATACGTCCATCAGCATTACTATTAACTCCCACCATATACATGGTTCTAGAGAAGGTAGGAAGGGTACATTTAACTTTTTTTTTTTTTGGGCACCCTCCAATGTTGGGGAAAATGAATGTAACCCATATACCTTCAGTGATCAGTGTCCATAATCATTTACCTCTGTTTCCTGCGAGGAACATTCTATCTAAGGCCCTGTTCACTTTCATTTTCGTTTTCTGTTTTCTGTTTTCATGTGATAAATTTGGCAACCGAAATGAGAAAACTTGTTTACTTTTCATTCTGTTTTCTATTCGTTTCCAACTATGAAAACAGAAAGTGGCAACTTCCTGCTGTTTTCGGAAACGACAAAATGTTGTTTTCACCTGTTTTCAACATTTGTTTTCTCAAAAACAGGAAACAGAAATGAAAGTAAACAGACCCTTAGTTATGAAGTTGGTTGCAATGCAGTCAAAAGTGTAATTTTACATGAACTGTTATCGTAATCTAAAAGTATAAAATTGTAAAGTTTTAGATCCTTAAACGTAATTTGACTAAATTAGTAATTGAAAAGCGTACTCACCCGTAGATATATACTTCCATTTTGGGGTTGACTATTTTGTTAGTTGACTGTGCCATTTAGAGAGAGCTAAATAATTATTGTGAGTTTCTAAATCTGGAACAGTGTGGTAGCTGGGATTTTTGAAATTATGATCTGGAATGGTCCAACTTAAAACAAAAACATTTATTAATAATGATCTGGTCAGAAGAATGATTAGTGGGTCATAATCTCGCAATAATGGCAACATACCAGCCTCCTGTTGACAAAATCACAGCGCTTGGTTTAGTCAACCCTTCCTTCCCAAAAAGAGAAAGAAGAGGAAGAACAATTAGCCTTCGTCACCATTAGCATCACCATCTACCTAACCAACTACATAAGCCCTTGTTTGGTCTGAGACCATTTGGCATGACTAGAAAGAGAGAGCTGTTTGGTTTCTGCGTAACATGAAGTCATACATAGCTGCTTTCTAGTTGGAGGGTATGTGGTTGGTAATTGTTTTATTGTTTTTTGTTTGTGACTTAGCAATATTCATTTTATACAACTATTTTGTTGATGCAGTCGAAATTTCAACGATGCCTCAATGGCTTGCTTTAATCTCGTGTGATAGATTTGTATTTCCCAGTGGAGGTTCATTTTGTTTGTTTGTTTTTGCAGAGACTCATTAGGTTGCTTTCGTGTTTGGACACGGGGACCAAGCATAACCTTCCCTAGCGAAGATAGGCTGGTCCAATTTAATGTGGCCACAAAGAATCTCAAGGATGTGAAACTGGCTTCGTCGGCTTCTGAGGGATGCTACATCGAGGAAGTCTTCTCATTCTAAACCATGAGTCTTTCTCTACTCGCTATGGCAGTTTCATGTTATTTTTCTCTTCGGAGCTTTCTCAGAGTTGCCCACCTCGTGAGCAAAAAAAGCTCTTTCATTGGAAGCCCGGTTGTATATGGGCTATTGTTCTTTATTATTTTCGGTTTTGTAAATCTGTTTTTCGTCCATACTCTGGGGACTTATCTTGCTTAAAAAAATTAAAACCCCCCATTTGTGACGAACAAAGATTTGGTCCAGTTATATTACTAGTCTTAAATCTGAAATTCTCAGGTTCGAATCTATTAGATAGCACATAACTAAATAAACAAATTTATATAACCTTTATAAAAAAAAAAACCTTTCCTGTGGTGCTAATTCCAACTCACCAAAGTCATAGATTTAGAGTCTTTCTCAACCAAATCAAGGAAAGTCGTTTATGATTCTCTTAACATAGGTAAAGATTTTGACAAGTGTATGAATGAACTTGTTGGTATGTGTATCTATTTATTATTATCTTTAAAAAAAAATTACAAGGTACATTACGTTAGGGTTTTATTCTTCAATTTTTAAAGCATACAAACGAGCATTGAAAAATGAGGGGGTACTCACTTCTGGATTCCCACTAACAAACACATGCTATACTAGCATTTCCCTCTTTATGTAAAATTGCACCAACCAATTAAAAAAAGGAAGCAACAAGAACAGAAGATTCAGTCTTTATAATAGTAGTTCTCCATCACAACATGACATATATATATTGTATAGTACAAAGCTAACCAAGTTCATGTATGGATAATGCATTTACTCCCTCCATTTCCATCTCAAAGCCAAACAATACATAATAGGCAAATCTAAACCCACAAACACACACACACACAGACACAGATAACCCACTTCATTTCTCCCAACACATTATGTATTGTTCAGAGAAAAGCAAAAGAAAAAGGGGAGAAAAGGAAAGGGAAACCCAACTCATAGAGTTGGAATTGGAAACCACATAATCACATGGCCCTCACAGCCTGAAACCTCGGCTCCTTGGGTTCAAACTTCTGCTCTGCATAAACAGACATATAATCCCCAAACACAAACTTAGGGTACCCAAAAGCCTCAACTCCCTTCTCCTCCCCCACAAGCTGTTGAGCCGGAGCAATGGTGGCCTTCATCGACGGATTATAGAACGAGGCGATCGACCTCCTGTTGCCATCGGGCTTCGCCTGAACACGATGCCAGGCGCTCTTGTACTTGCCATTGCTCAGCACCTCAATCTGATCCCCGGTGTTGATCACAATGCTGTTCTTCATTGGCTGCACGTCGAACCACTCCCCGTCCTTCAGCACCTCGAGCCCTCCAACGACGTCGTCCTGGAACAGCATCACAACCCCGCCTGCATCGGTGTGGGCCCTCAGCCCGGTCACCTGCTCTGGCTTGGGGCATGGTGGGTAGTGGCTCACTTTTGTCCCAAAGAAGGCTTCTTCTTCTCCATTACCGCTGTTGAATGCATTCTTGATGTACCCTTTTGGTAGCCCTAAGTTCTCGTCCATCACTTCCATTACTTGATCTGCAAGTTTCCTCAGCTCTGCCCTGTACTCTGTCATTGTCTCCCTGAAATGGGGACAGGAAAATTAGGGGCTCGAAGGGAGCAGAAAGAGAAATTTTTGGAAGAGCTTTTGGCGACCAAAAAATGGTCGCTAAAGCAAATTTGTAGATTGTACTTTTTTTGGGTTCCATTTTGCTTACTTGAATCCAGGGGTCTGTGAAGGCCATTCATTGTGGTCAAGAAGTGTGATGACATCTTCCCAGTCAACATTCTCCAGCATTTGGCCATCAGGCAAATCACTCAAGGATTTGAACAATGGCGATTGCTTGAAATTTTGCTCCCTTTCCAGCTTAAAGAACTCTGTGCAAACCTTCTTCACCCTTTCAAGGAGCTCCTCTGAGATTCCATGGTTGGCCAGCTGTTTACAAGAGAGAAACAAAGAAAGAAAAATGTTATGAATTTTTTTCCAAAAATGTGGAAAGAACAATTTAAAAAAAAAACTGAGAAAGAGGGGTAGCCCAGTTGGTGGGGTTGTTTGTTCGGCACACGCAAGACCGTATGTTCGATCCACGCCATCAACTAGTTGGTGCATAAACGTTCGAGTAGCATCAATTGCCCTTATAAACTAGACAGATATGGTGACAGATACTATTATCGGACCTGAAAGAAGCCCCACTCCTCGCAGTACTTGGCAATGAGAGCCATGTTTGCAGCCCTTTCCTCAGCGCTAGCACCATTGCCAACCTTGGAGAAATCAACAACTGGGATAGCCATTAGAGGAGGGAAAGTTGTAATATTTAGCAGAAAAACAAACAAAAGGAGAGAAAAGCTTTGAACTTTGTAAAGTTTTTATTTGCTTCTCTTTTGGGAGGTGCTGGCTGCTGGGTTTCCAGTGAAGAAGCAATCAAGGCACAAGAGGCTGCATTTTATTGGGGAAACATTCTCCAGGCCAAGTCATCTCCATCTGTAAAAAAATATACTTGAAAATATATGGCCTATTTTATTTCCCCATTGTTTATTGGGTTAGTTATTATCCTTTTCCTTGAAGGATTGAAGGAGCAACGAGAAGAAGATGATGTGTTGTTGGGGGAGGAGTGGACGTTAAACAAAAATCTGTGCACAACAAATGTCTCATAAATAGTAAGAATCTTTTTTGAATTATTCTAATTAAAATGTCAATGCTTGCTTGCGTGGCCATATGGTTGCCCATACTACAAGCATCCACCACCTTTAATCCTAGATCGATTTCTTTATACGAGATTATACACCATATCTACAAGCCTCCACCACCTTTAATCCTAGATCGATTTCTTTATACGAGATTATACACCATATCTACAAAATATATAAAGGAAAAAACATGGATAGGAACTGTCTCATTTCAAATTCCGTGCATTATAACTAATTAGACTAAATTGTATTTATTGTTATTTTTTTTATTAAACTCTAGGAATATATTTGATAATGATGCTTCTATATTTATATTTTATCTCAAGTTATTTATATTTTATAAAAAACGATTAGTTCTAAAATCGAAAAACAAGTAACATCGATTCAAACATTAATATTAAATTGTATGTGTAGTTTAGTTTAAACAAATTACATCAGTGAACCAACACATGGACCTTTGTGACAAGTATAGTCATTTTTTGTGACAAATCTACACATAGTATAATGATAAAATTTGAAAATGAGAGTCTCATCTCAAATTTCGTGGTTTGAGAGTGATTCTAAGAAGCTCTTTTTCGTCATAGCGCCCAACTTATTTTTATATTATGTGTAGATTTCTCACAAAAAATTACTATATTTGTCACAAAGATCAATGTTTTGGCTACGCATATGTATTTTTGTCTAAATTGAACCACACATACAATTTAATATTTAATGTTTGAATCAATGTTACTTGAGTTACGATTTCACAAGTAATCACTTTTTATAAGATAATAATTTCAGGTAAAATACCCTTCCTACTAGGTTGAAGAAGCTCTTTCTATAAGATATATGCAATGTTTTAAGATTTTTCAATTCAAATTTCGTGAAATGAGAGTGAAAATAGGAAGAGTATTTTTGTCATCGCAATTATTATCTACTTCATAAAAAAGTATCAATATCAAGATTTGAACCATGGTCTCGCAGGTTAGTTGGATGGACAAATCTAGTTGGATACGTCTCTGGGATGCCAACATTCCTCCGAAATTGAAGATATTTGCCTGGCAACTTTTGAGCAGACTTTTGCCGACTACTGAGGCGCTAATCGAGCGGAAAGTTGAAGTCCTTCCCCGGTGTCCTATGTGTTGGGCTCCATCGGAAACGATGGAGCACCTGTTCCTTGATTGCCCGGTGGCCAGGGCCTTGTGGATTCAGTCTGGTCTAGATCATCTTGGTGAAGGATTGCCTCGGCATACTTTCCCTCTGTTCCTGAAGAAGTTGCTGGCTATCTTGCAGCACCCCTCGCAGTTCATGGGAGTAATTGCTATCTAATGGAGGATTTGGCGGTCCCGGAATTGGGTGGTCTTTGAAGGAAAGCAGTTTGGTATCCTTGCTCTGATGAGGCAGTATCACCAACAGGTAGGGGAATGGTTGAGCTTACCTAACGATCCCCGGCCTCCCTCGCTGTCTCCTCCTAGCACTAGTGCAGTGGGTTTAGGTGCAGTAGGGGGCCTGTGTGTCGTTGGGATGGAGCAGTCCGTTTAGGGTCGCACTCTACGGGAGGATTTGTGCTCCTTAATGAGGCAGGGGAGATCATTTGGGCTGATGGTGTTCAGTTCCCTCTGCTGGAGGACCCAATGGTGGCGGAAATACTTACCCTCCGCGAAGCAATCCAGTGGTGTATAGTGCAGGGTTTTGTGTCAATGAGATTTGAAGGGGACGCCAAAGTGATCATTGAGAAGCTGGACCAGGGTGATGTGCGGGATAGTCGGGTTGGGGCTATTTTAGAGGAGATTCTTCAGATGTTTACGATTTATCCGGGCTTCACGGTACGATTTGTAGGTCGGGGTAGCAATAGGGTAGCTCACGTTGTATCTAGACAGGCCCTGTCTTTGTTCCCGACTACGTGTCGTTATTTTGACTTTCAGGCCTGGCTGAATTCCAGGATGTAATTATCGATTTGTTTCTATCAATACAAGATATCTTTTGTCAAAAAAAAACCATGGTCTCTTCAAACAAAAACAATAATCAAAATCAATTACACTAAACAAATTTGTTTTATCTTCATAAATTGTAGCCCCAAACACTAAGCGAAGATTTGAAAAGAAAAGGACTTATCCATCACGGTTAGCTAGTCTATTAAATCTTCAGAAAAGCCAAGTTTAATACATGTTTTATAAATTTTTATAACCTATAAAATGACAGGTTATCTTATAATTTGAATTAATGAGTAGTTTTTCACATCAACGTATGACGAATCATATTATAAAAGGTTTATAAAATACATTCATTGTTTATTTTGAGACTCAATCTTTTCAATGTATATAACTAAATACTCATTTATAAAATCATTACTGCTTAACTTCGTAGCTGAAAAGTCTTTTTTACAGCTTACAGTAACAAACAACGTCAACAATCACTTTAGAAGCAAGTAAAGTGAAGAAGACATTGGGATTTACTATTTCTTTGAAAATGTGTGTGTGTGTGTGTTTGGGGGAGCGGGAGATTTTTTTGTCTAAAAAATTTGAGGAAAGGTTCAAACTCATATATCATTTGTTCGAATATTGCATATTGAATTGGAGTATTGGAAGCTATATATGATTCTTAAATTAATATTAATTTTCAGCCCGGTTGACCAATAATCATAAGATGAAATTTTGTTTGATATGTCAGTTCAAAACCATTTTTATGTGTAATGAATTTGTACTACAAATACATGTACATAAGTGAAGATGAACCTGACTATGCATTTTGATTCTTTAGATAAATAAAATGGTTAAAGCGATGAACTAACTATACACTCACTCGATTGGTTTAATGAGTTCCGTTTTTATCACTTTTAGTAATTAGTTTATTAACAAGCTATCAAACTACTTTTCTCCGTCGAAGAATAAGCAGTCATCTGTTCGCCAGGTTTCAGGTGCTCTGATTCACACTATCGACTGTGAATGAAGAAAAAGGATTTCGAACGCAAAATTGGAGAAGTAATTGGGATGTTTCTCTCGATTCCAAATAGTGGGAAGAAAGAGGAAGGGGAAAGGGGGAGAGTGGTGATATGAGATACAAAGCTCAGAGAGAGAGATGGAAGAACAAATAGAAAAACAAAGATGAAGGCAAAGAGAGAGCGAGAGGACACAGTAAAGAGGGCGAAAATGAGGTAGTGTGAAATAATTGTCCTTCTGCTTTGATTAGTGGGTATTCTTGGCCCTCTTCAGTTGAGTTTTGCTTTATTTTAGAAGATGACATTATATTTGACAGATTTTTTCGTTTCAATTTAAAATCCAAAATCAATAATATCATTTGGATGATTTTTTCCATAATACGATCATTGTAATTTCAGAGATTTAAGGGGTACTTGATAATGTCAATATTTTAGTGGTTTTTTATTGAAAATTTGAATTGAAAGATCGTACGTATTGCCGGTTTGACTATAAAACTTCACACCACAGGCTAAATCGAATGTGATATTTAGAAATATGAAACGGTTGAACCATAGTTAAATTATGACTTCAACATAAGATACTCTATTACCAAATTTTTCGATACGATATTACAATCCTTTGGTTCAAATAATTCTTTTACACGGGTGGAAACTAAGTTTTAAGGCACATTTTGAACTATCTATTGCAAAAAAGCATAAGTCAGTTAATGATAATGAGAATATGCGATCTCATTCAACCTAAAAGACACTTTGCAACTTTTATCTTTTTGAAATAAATAAATGCATGCTAGACATACCCACGCTCATTCATCAACTTAATGAGTAACATATTTAATGTAATATGATTTTCATAGGTTTTTATTTATTGAATTATTTCATGAAAAAAATATTTGTTGCATGAAAATTACTACATTGTGGCGAGACATGTCTACGATCTGAGAATAATTTGGGAAGTTCGTACACAACACATTGTCCAACTAACTATTAGCGACAATTTAGCATCATGTCCTATATATATCAAATCAAGCAACTTCAGATTCAATACCAACGGTGTGATAAAAATGAATGTTGTCTATTGAAAAAAACTTAAACGACATACTAAAATCTATGAGAGACATGCATTTTCTTTCATTCTAAAGGTTGATTATGTATGTATTATGAGAAGCAACTCTAATATTCAACTATATGGTTTAATAAAGTAATGAATGACAATTAGTTATATTTATTTCTTTTTCCATTCAATAATTATATGTAATGCTTATATAATTTTTTTACATTTCATAGGTCTAAACACATTATGCATAGTTGGATCCCTTTCAAAAATGTTATGTACATGACTAAAGTAGAAAATAATCATTTCATAGATTTCAAATCATCTATTATATCCATTATTATATACCATATTGCTCGAAAAATTTCTTTCGGCCAACAGGCCGGACCCTGTGCTAGTACAGATATAAATATATGGTAAGTCACAATTTTACTTGAGGGTTGTTTCAATAGTTATCAATTATTATTCTGAAGAAATGGTACTTTATATCTCATGGTCATTAAAAATACAAAAAATCTTGCTTGTGGCATATGGCAATCAATTGGAAAACTTTACTTTAGCGTTCTTTTTCTTCTGTTCAGAGATAAATGGTTATACTTATAATTATGATTATATCTAAATGAGTCAAGGTGTATGAAAAAGATAAGCAAGAAGTCATCCGGGCAAAATCATATAAATTTTAACTCATATACTTGTTTTGATGTAATTCGTGTGCCAAGTAAAAAATTGACTCGTTTACTAAAATTTTGATTTGTGCTTAACTTGAATTTGCCTCATAAATGAGTTCAAAAGTTTTACAGGGACTTGCATTATAAATTAGGTATTTATTTTGTAATGATCTATTGAATTTACAAATTTCATGATGAAATATATAATCATATACAACACTGGTACGGGGCGGTAACTGGTTATCTACCATAGCTCCTCACATCTATTGATCGTAGCTAGTTTCTCCTATTCATTATGAACATCTAATTTTCTTTCTAGGACCTAGACGAGTTGTTTTGTCACTGTCTAACACCTAAACATACGTAAAATTATGCCTTATTGAGAACCGTAAGAGCCATAAGTTCTCCAAATAATTCACTTTTCATGTTACACAAATCTTTTAATACTAATAAAAGTCATAATAACCATACGTTCTCTGAAGAATTTTTTTATATCATATGATGTTGCTATGATTTGAAGTTAGATTATTTTTCGTTGACTCTGTAACCTTTTCTTTTTTAGGTTGGAATAGGTTAGACCATCTAGAAAATGTACTATATATACTTTCTCAATTTCTATAATTTGTATCTTCTCAAATTTG